CTCGACTGTTTCTTCTCTGCCGTGTTGTAGCAGAAATGCCCCTCACACAGACTGTCCTACAGCTGGCTGCAATGCAAGAGTGAAAGCACAGCCGAGGTTTCGCAATGGATGGGGCCTCGAAACCCCACGCCTGGTTCTCTGATGTAGCTCTGAGCTGTTCTGCAGAGGAAAGCAGTTTTCCTCTGGATTCAGATCAATGCAAATTATCTCCCCATTGGTGGAAGTGGACAAATTAGGAGTTGGGTTAAGCCCTGAGCACAGTATGAAAATGTAACAGCCAACTGCTCTGAGGGCCACACACCTGGAAGACGTCCAAACCACAGGGAGTGGGGAATGCGGGGACCCTTGTGGGAGGGGGGCACATCCAGCCCATGGATGCCCGTGGTGGCTAGGTTTTGTTTATTTTGTTTTTTCCATGGACTCTCTGAGTTCATGCAGAAGCCATCTCCAGCTCTGTTTTGGTTTCCTGTTCTCCCAAAGCCACCAGGCTGCTGCGAAGTTTCTACCCTGAGGTCAGGCTGGCGGAAAGCTGAGATGCAAAGGGGAGCAGAGAGGAAGTCTCCCACCAAACCAAGAGGAAGGGGGAAAGGGAGATCTTGTTACGCATTCAGCACGCAATACGTCTGAAATAGTACTTACATTTTTTGCGGTTCAGTCTATTGTCAGTCTCTGAGTTATGGCTGGAGTGACGTCCGGAAGGCCGGATCAGGTGAGCTACCTCACTGCGGACAGATCATTCCACTGGCTATACAAGATAGATGGTTGTGGTTTGGTGGAGCTTTGCAACGTATGGCCAGCGAGGATGGGGGAAAGGAAGTGCCCCGAGGCTGTGCATTGCCTGAGAGCACCACAGAGCATGACCTACAGAGGATGCATGGTGCATGACTTGATGGGAAGTCTTTTCACCAACCCCAAAACCAGCCTCATCCTGCCCAGCACCTTCCAGAAGCAACCATGACTGGCTCAGCCATGTGAAGGGAAGGCATCCAGAGCATTCTTCTGCAGGCCCTGTTGGCAGGGGAAGGGGACAAGTTGGGTACTCCTTAGTGAGATGGCAGATGCAAGAGTCACAGGAAAGCTGTAAGAGACGGGAAGAAAGGGGGCATCAGATCCATCCCACACCTTCCCCATCATTATCTCGTCCCAGCAGGGCATGGGATGGAGTGGGTAGAGGGCAACATTCAAGGACACCGGTTTTGAAACTGATTTTCCCTAATCTTGGTACTTTATTGTGAGTTTTACAATATTTTGCTGATAATCCCAGCCCCTGGAATCATAGATATTGAGGTTTTGTCCTTCTGGTTTTCCTTTAGCTTTTTTTCAGCTTTTCTTTTTTTCAGTGCACATGTCAACAGTTGAAACAGTGAAGGATTACTGCAGGAGTCAAATTAAATGACGCTGGTTAAAGTATCACACCTTTTAAACCAGAGTCTCGTGGTGTGGCAAGGCCAGATTTTTGAAGGGTGGGTTGCCTCTTCCAACAGGTCAGTGGATGACCAGTGACGGCCAGTCTGTCTTCAGGGTGGATTCGTAAGAGACACCAGGTAGAGCTCCTGCTGTAGCAGGATGGTCTAGTAGGTAGAGCACTGTCTTGAGACTATGGAGGTCCAGGTTGTGTCCATGGCTTGGCCATGCGTTACTTTTGTTGTCTTCTGTGAATTATTTAAACTCCCATCCATCTCAGCTCCAAAAAGAAGGTTTTCAGACCATGGAGGTGGTTGTTTCATCTGGCAGATGACCCAATATTTTGTTACCTGGAGGACCTTTCCTGATTCAGCACTGCGGTTTCCACCGAGCTGGGACCTCCCTTGTGCTAGGAGATGAGTGAGACCTGGAATTGCCTTTAGAGCTTTTTTTTTTCCCTCCTGGGTAAATCCAGGTCTCACTATTCCTGAGGACAAAAACCCCTGGGAACTAGCAAGCATGAGCTGCCCTCTCAAGGGCTGCCCTGAGCAGCCTTTTGGAGAACCTCAACCTTTTGCTCCTGAGGCTTTCCCCAAGGACTTAAAAATCACCTTCCCTGAAGGCTCCCCATCACAACACCGAGTAAGATTTGTGGCACCTATGTCTGCAAGAAGGCACACCAGCATGCACGCATGCATGCACGTGTATGTCTTGGCAGTTCTGACTCAACATCCTTTCAAAAAGAGGCCCTGTGGTTAATCAGAGGAATTAACCACAGCCTCCGAAAATGTCCCGCCAGCCAATCAGCAGGCCCTTCCCAAGACCATTGCTGCTACAACGGTGGCGTTGTCCGATAGGAACGTGGATCTTTCCGGTTAAATTTCTGAATGGGGCTCAGGGTTGCTTTTGTTCAGCTGGGCGTAGTAACGCCTCACAACTGCCGAATTACCAAGAATCCTAAACTTGGAGTAGGATTTTTTTTTTTTTTTTTTTTAATTTTCACCATGGAGGCAAATGTTTTCCAGTTCAAAGAGGATTCCAGATTGGCAGCGGTAAAAGTGCACCAGGCTTTGAAGGGAAGGAGCTTTTTTTTTTCCCCTAAAGCTCTCGAATCTGCTCACATTGGCTTTTTAGTGCCTGTTGCCTCCACAGATATATAGATATATATATATAAATACGCACATATACACACGCTAGATTAATATTGGCAAGCGCACCACTCTACGAATGGAAACCGCAAAGAAACATTCACATATCTGGGGATTCTGATGTAATAGGGCTGAGGTTTCACATTCCAGGACAGCATTTCTAGCCTCAAATCAAAATCAGAGCTGTCATTCAGAGCCCAGAGTTACTAATGTTATTGCAACCCAGCGGGTGGGGTGAGGGAAAGGCGGGAGGCAGGGGAGGAGGGAACGAGGAGAAAGATGCTGAATTGCTTGGTTTCTTTGGGGTTTATTTCTAATTTCAGACGATGAAAGGCGGTACAAGCTGGGATGGTAGCAGGCGTTTTAACCCTTTTCAGGCAGATGTTCAGTAATTCCTGAGTTGTGCATGCCCCCGCACAGGATGAAGAAAAACATCTCAATATTTAACGGAAAGCTCAGGGTTTCTAAGCTCAATTCTAAAATATAGAGGGCCAAGAGAACTAAAACCTACTACAGGATTAATTACTATGAGCTCTCCTGTGACAGGGCCTTTTCCAATGGGACTTTGGCAAGCTAAAGTTGTGTCTGGATTGGATAACAGTCATAGGCTGCTTTTGATTTTAAAAAAGAAAAATAAATGCAGGTGATTTCTTCTCATATCCCACAGCCAAAGCATATCCTCCCCATGTTTTCTGTGCTGGGTTGACACTCCACCAGCCTGGACATCAGTCATTCAGCAATGGTATGGCATAGCCTTATGGCTAAATTTTACAGTTCCAGCAGAAATCCCAGGTCAGTGGGCATTTTGTTCAAGCAAAAGTTGCCAAGTGATCTCTGGATTTGGCTGAGAGTTTGTAAAGCGCTTTGGGTTCTTTTGGGATGAAAATGCTACAAAACTCCCAGGCACGGGATTAACCCAACTCTATCACTAGTCCCTTGCAAAAATCCCTGCTCCCCCCCGCTCATTAGGAAAGATGAATACTGCTTTCCAAGCTGCTCTTATGTCAAAAAGATGACATCAAGTGTGATTGTTAAAGATTTCCCAGACCCAGAGCTGTACACCCCCAGCAGGTATGATAGCCTGAATCTCTGTGCTGCTACCACGGTTGTGTTACGATGCAGTAGGACGCGTTCTAATGTGACGCTATTTTTTCCATCATTTGTACTGCAGGAGGTCTTTGATCGCCTCTATTTGATTTATACTGTTGGATACTCCATCTCTCTGGGATCCCTCACAGTTGCTGTCCTTATCCTGGGATACTTCAGGTAGGCGGCTCTGTTTCTACCTAAGCAAGTTGTCACTAGACGGGAAAAGCCTCAGGCTTTCCTAAAGGATAACACTGGGGTGGCATGTGCTTCTTCAGCAAGCCACAAGAGGTTGCATCTGTGCTTTGGGCTGTGTTAGTGTCACTTTTAGGTCAAACTTCTTGGGGGATGGTGGGTGGGGTGTTTGAATTTCTTCCGCTTGCCTGCAATGGAGTTTTCTAGACCCTCTTTGCAGCAAATGGGAAGAGAGGCATCTCCAGGAAGAGGTTTGTCTCCCTTGGAAGACTATCTAAGGTTTTCTGTCCCTATCACCCCTGCAGACGACTGGCTTAGATTTAGATGGCTACTTTTTAGATAGGTAAGGTTTTATAAGGGAAATTCCACTCTAAACCCAAATATTCCTGAAGGACAGACCAGTTGAAGGGGTCCTCAGCCATGTAAGAGTACCGAACTGACTCCTCCAATCTCCTCATGCTGCTGCTGTACCTAGGGAGCCAAAAATGACCACTCACCCTCCTAACTCTGATTTTCTGCCTTCCCTTTCCACCACCCCTGCCAAGGGATGTAGACCCCTAAATAGCATTTTGAACCCGCGCCACCCAGCCCTCAGACCTGGCTGTCGCATCTCCTTGCTGCTGTAGAGACTAGGGGAGGGATGAAAGGTCTCACTCACAGATAGAAGTTTGCCCTTTGGGAAAGAAACCATACCTGGTGAGCTGCAGGTGGAGCTGGGTGCTGAGTCCCGATCCCCTGAGCCCCAGATTTGCCTACCTTTGGCGGCTGGCAGTGACTTCTCCCAGCAGACAGCAGGACCCAGACAACAGCTGTGGAGGGAAATTCTCCACGCCGCAAACAGCCACGTGGTGTCTGCAGATGAACTCACCAGCTCCCACCGTGCAAGCTCGAGCTAAGCCCCGGACACATACCACTGGGAATAAAATGCGCGGCTTTTGGCTCTAAAAGTGGTCAGACCACTCTGCAGTGAGCAAAAGAAGGTCAGGGGGATTTGCTTGGATAGCAGAGCATCCCAGCGCCCGAATCTGTGACACACACAAGCCAAAGGAGACTGCAGACCCCTCCTGGAGGCACTTCACATGATGCAGACACAGAACCCATCCCTGCCACCACCCTCCTGTCCTCTCAACCCTTACCGCCCTGTTTCATTTCCCGATGGACATTGGCAAGGTTGTTAAAATATTTAATGTCCACATATGCAAGTGTACTCCTACTTTCAGGAGACATGCTCTCTCTTCCATCACGTAGTCAGAGCACCTCACTTACAGCCCAGACTACATGGATGACTATGCTAGAGCATCTTTGTCCCAAGGACCAAAGCAGCAACAGGGATCAAGCAGGATTTTATTCCAGATAACAAAATTCACTGACTACATTTCAAATGCAGGGAGAAAAGCTCGTCTTCATTTATACCTCAGCAGTTCCATTTGGTGTGATTTGTATTATAACAGCACAGGAAACAACTGTTATTACTGTCACAATCTCCCCCAAAGGAGGAAAAAAAAACCCACGGCTATTATTTTTTATTTCCGTTATTGGATCTGGGGATTTAAGCGAGTATAAACCCATTAATAGATTCATGCATGGCTAGCCAGGGACCCCAGCAGGTCAGTCAGTCCTTTCTTCCCCCCAAAGGCAGGATCACTGTTTCTAAAACACGCTTCATAGATATGGGTCTAACCCATTCACATCTCACCATCCAGCCTTTCCCCCAAAAGGATCTTAAAGCGCTTTACAACCAGCATTTGTGGGGTCATTGCTGCCATTGCTGGGGTGGAGCCCCAGAAACTGCTTGACATGACCAAGCAATGGGTAGTGTCTCTAATGGCAAACAGAGAAAACAGCCCAGCACGCTATAGTTACTACTATAGTTACTGCTAAATTTGTAGTGGGCACAAAGATTAGCAGTTTGCAAGAACCTCTGCAAGGTTTTTAGTGGCCACAAGTTCTGTAGCCTTCGTAGTCCATTTTCTCTGCACAAAATGCAGATAGATGTGAGGTCTTTAAACGCAGGGTTTGACTCTGAGAGGGGTAGAATTTGTTGGAGGGATGGACTTAACAGTGAAAGGGACACACACGGGACACACGCTTCAGTATCAGTGAGCACTGTGCATGTATCCTGCCTTCTGTCCGTACATCCCGGAAAATGACTGCACGTCCGATGCACACTCATTGCATGTGCACTGAACACCAGGGATGTGCTCATCGTGCACGCACTGCGCACAGGAACGCACATGCCTCTCGCTGCACACGTGCTGCACACCAGATGTACGTTCCCTGAATGTTCACTGCACACTGGATGCACGCTCACGGCATGCACCCTGCACATTGGTTGCGCACCGACTGCATTCAGCCCGTATTTCAGGTGTGTGCACACTCCACACATGCTTCATACTGAGTGCACCTCCGACTGCCTCCAGATGCACGTGCACTGCACACAGGGTGTCCTGCACGTGCAAACTCATCCCACGTGTACTGCACGCACACTGCACGCACACTGCACGCACACTGCACGCACACTGCACGCACACTGCACGCACACTGCACGCACACTGCACGCACACTGCACGCACACTGCACGCACACTGCACGCACACTGCACGCACACTGCACGCACACTGCACGCACACTGCACGCACACTGCACGCACACTGCACACACACTGCATGCACACTGCGCTCCAGATTTGCACACATTGAGCGTGGACTGCGTATTGCATACCCTCCTCCAGCTGCATGTGGACTGCACGCACACCATCCTCCAGACGTAGACTGGCTGGGCGCACAGCCCCCCCCCTCCCCAGCTGCCTGTGGCCTCCGCGCACCCCATCCTCCAGACGTAGACTGGCTGCCGGCACTGCCCACCGCATGCATGCTCACTGCCCATGCCCGGTACTGGCAAAAACGCATCCCTATTTCTTTCCAAGACTTCCCAGTCAGAAATAAAGGCGCTTAATGAGTACAAGCATAGCATTGTCCTAATGCAAAGTCAGCAGCAGTGTGCTGCAAGCAGACCCCTGGAGCAGGTATTCATTCATTTACCAACCCCGTGGGTGAACGGTGAGCGCAAGGCGGCAGTGGCGCTAGGACTGCTTCCCCGTGGCGTCACAATGCTGATGAGGGGATCTGGGGGTCTTCAGAAGCAGAGGTGACCCTGATTCTGTCCAACAGATGGGGTAAACTACTCCAATCCTTCTCTGTCTCCTCCTCCAGGCGTTTGCACTGCACTAGAAACTACATCCACATGCACCTATTTGTCTCCTTCATGCTGAGAGCCGTGAGCATCTTCGTGAAGGACGCAGTCTTGTACTCTGGGTCAGCTTTGGAGGAGATGGAACGGATCTCAGAGGAAGACTTGAAATCCATTACGGAAGCACCTCCAGCGGATAAATCACAGTTTGTGAGTATCGCCAGAGCACCCAGCCCCTCCGGGCTTCGTGCCTCTGTCCTCTCTGTTTAACCCCTTTCAGGTGGATTTCCCACCCTACTGAAGGACACCAGCTCCCCGACTTTCTTCACCCTCCACAGCCTCTCCCCATCCCTTCCCACTCCCTCTCAACCCACTGGCCCAGACGCACTGCCAGCCCAAGAGCGAAGGAAGAGCTTTTCCCCGTGGTGTTCAAAGATAAAGCCAGGGTTGAGGTTTTAGTTCCCATCTACAACTACTATTTTAAACAGCTCCCTTGATGCTTCCTAAAGCGTACAGTTCTGGAAACTCCCCTGGCTATCCCAGCACAAGGCACATCAGTGCTTGCGTTTCACAGTGTGTACTTTTCCCACCACAATGTGGAATTGGCTGATTTTCCACCTGGAGCTCCTCTCTGTACGACCCATGGAGGCATCACTGTGCTGTAACATCTGTGCCATCAGCCTGACAGCCCAGATGTAGCAAAGCCATGGTTCAACGTGTCTTGGGAGGCTCTCAGCCCTGACTCCAGAGCCAGAGCAGAGGTAGCTTGTGAGGAAGGAGGTCAGCAGTAGACATCTCACCTCACTGTAATTTTGCAGCAAACCATAGCTGGTTGCTCCTGTTGTGATTTATTGCTTCCACCTCTGAAAAAAAGACATTTAAAAGGGACCATGGAGGGATTATGAGCTATCGTAAGAAAAGGTAGGGTTCATCTGCAAAAAGCAGTTGTTTACAAGGGAGACAACTTCATTCAATCTAGTCACCTCGGGTTCCATCTATAGTCAACTGAGTCAGCATGGTCTACACAGCCAGTCGAGTCAAGGGTATGATACACCAGGTCCTAAAATAAAAATTGAAGTGAGGCCAGATGAACTTGTCTCCAGAAGTACGTGTTTCTTTTCACTGTATAGAAAGCTCAGATGGAGGCATCTGCATTGTCCATGTGCTTTGGGGAGATGAAGCCCATCCTCAGGTTTCAGAGTTGTCCCCACTCTGCTCTCCTTGTCATTGGTCTCATCACAGATTTCCCATGGTGGATCCTAGGTATGATAGCTCATCATCCATGAATAGTTGGATGTTGCAGAGACAGACAAGGTAGATTTTAGTATCTAAGAACAAGGGTTTCCTTCAACGCACACAAAAAATCTGTGCCTCAAACATCCCAGTGGAGTGGCTCTCACAATGTGGCCACAAACTTTCTGCCTCTGTATTCGTTTGACTTCTCAAGTCTTTAGCAGCTTGTGCTACTACCAGGGACCTGGCCACCAACACCCCTGTGTAAAATCAGCATATATGAAGTGTTCCACTGTGCATCCAAGTCCCCCCAAATGGAAATATGTTATTGTGTTTCCTTCCCATTTCAGAGATCCATTTCATTAATTTGATGAGTCTCTGGCTGGAGCACTCAGCACACTTCGAAACAATCCCTTTTTGGAAAGAACACAACATGTTTTACGGCATTGTTTTCTGTTTCTCCTTGGGCTGGACTCATTATAAGGAATAATTGGGATAATAGATTGCATTCTTTGAATATTAGCAATTTAATGGCATTTCCCATTCTGCTGAATTGAAAGGCAAACAAGTGATGAAGGCGACAATTAATGTATTTCTTTTGTTTCCTAGTGAAGTGGGAGCTTTGCAATTATTGCCTGATGCTCCCTGTGTGTGGGTAGATGGTGATTTTTTGTAAATATAAAAAATAATTATTAAGCCTGGGTGGGGATTTTTTAATTGATCTTCCTTCTATTTTAACTCATTTCATCTGTAAATGAAAATGAGTGTAAATGTGTCCATATTTTTTATATATATATATGTATGTATATAATATGTGCATATTCATTTTGATTGGCAAAGAATTAGCGTAAGAGCTGGGCCAGAACATAAAATTTTCTTTTTATTTACAAGGTACTTACTGACATTTTCTGCAAGTCATTTGTATTCCTCTCCAAGTAAGAGGCAGCATGGAGATGTGTTGCTGCTGTGCGATGTGTTCGGTAGTCAGACGTTTCCTTTGAAAGTGGACTATCCAGAGTCCTAGCATTTCCACATTGACAAGAGATGGCATTAAGTGTCCCTTTGTACCAACCAACCCCCTGCGGCATCCTTACTTTGCAGCCTTTCTCTACTAGGGCTGAGAAAAATCGGAACACGTACGGCTTTGCCCCACTCTGCCAGAAGCAGGGGAGCGTTGAGTCGCAGTCAGGGTTTTCCTCTCAAGAAAGCAAAGGATTGCAGGTCAGTGTGGAGCGTGCCCGTTTAAAAGCAGCGTGTCCTGGAAGCCTCTACCAGGTCTCCCACCTTGCAGCTCAGGTCTGTTCAGAAAACGCCTTGACATTGTGGGTGAAATCCTCCATCTTCAGTTTGCTCTTGGAGGACCAGTCGCCAAAGCCTACAGCAGCCATCTAAGACTCATTGAGGAAAGACAGGCAGCCCTGGAGGACCCTGTCTTGGACATCCATGACAGGATGGGGTGACTCACCCCATGTATCTCTCCACGAGCTGAGGAGGGAGTCATACTTTCAAGTGATGTGACTTGCACCAGGTCACCCAGACCGAGGTGACTTAGCCACAGCCCTTTGTCCTCTAACCTGGACAAGAATCACAGGGAAAAGATGAAACAAAGCTGTCCTAGAAAGCCTGTGAACCCCTCATCAGTGGGGTTGGGGGAGAGTAAGATCAGGTCAGCATCTCTCCACATGTGCCCTGTCCTCCTACACCTCCCAACTCACCTGCTATCGGAGACACGATGTCAGGCTGAGGGGAAGCTTTCTTCTCAATTTTTCATCTCTTCTGTTCTTGCACTGATTTTTCCCCCGTGTAAAAGCCCTGCAACAGAATTTTCTGATTTTTTTTTTCCTTTCTCCATCTTGTTTTCCAGCCCATCTTGGTAAATTATGGCTTTATGTAGAACACGAATTTCACATATATGTTCCTCATACAACCCTGTCTTTCTGTGGCCATTGCAGGTGGGCTGTAAAGTAGCGGTTACCTTCTTCCTCTACTTCCTGGCAACCAATTACTACTGGATTCTGGTGGAAGGGCTCTATCTCCACAGCCTCATCTTCATGGCATTTTTCTCAGAGAAGAAGTATCTTTGGGGATTCACATTATTTGGCTGGGGTAAGTCATGGCTGCTCCTTACGGCCGACCTGTAAGACCTGTTGGAGGTAGTTTTTGAAGCAAATAGTGCATATACATAAATATAGGAGAGGGGACAGAGGCAGGGTGAGCATCGGAGACACAGTGACTCTTGCAAGGACAGGTGAGCTCTCTTGTGAAGCCTTTATCATTTCTTAACTCTGGTATTTACACTGTGGCACTTCCAGGATCTCTGGAAGGATCAACCCAGGCTTGGAGAGACAGCACATCTTGCCATCCTTCTAGGGCAGCAGATGTGTGCATGTGACAGCTGATTTTAGTGCACTCTCTGAGTTATCCCCATCTCTGCCAAGTGCCTCCTGCTGAGAAGGAGGCGTTGGGCTGGAGGGGCGGAAAGTTGCGTGGGGCTGTGAGCATCTGCTCCCAACGGCAGACCTAAGCTCTGATTTCCTACCTCAGATCTCAGTTGCTTTAAAAAGCTCCCGAGGTTTCATGAGTGTTGGAGCACCAGTAGAAACCTGAAATTTGTGGGGGAGCCTTTTTTTTTTTCCCTTTTCGTTTAACTTGGGCATCTTTTCCTGGAGTAAGGAGAAAGGAGCGGGATGTGGGTGCATGGAGGGCGCTCATTAGTGGAAGGCGTTGGTGGACACCCACATTTCAGATGAGAACGTGCTTTCTGTTCACTTCTGGCATTAGCTTTGGCTTGCAAGGAGTTATGAGGTGCTGGTAGGCTGAGGACAATAAAACAACTGCCCACAATTGTCTGAAGTGTGTGGACTGTAAGGGAGAACAGGAAACGTATTAGATGATTCTCGAGGACATAACTAAGAATAATGGGGTGTAGGTCTACAAGGGAGCTTACAGCAGGAAAAACCTGTTCAGAGGTGTCTATGGTTACCAGTTTCCAGGCCCAAAATGCACCTGGCCACATCCTGACTGCATTTTAGGACAAGATTAATGGGTGCACCACACCATCCCCATTCCAGCAGATGATTTCTTCTGGAAGAAAACCGCTGTCTCTAACCGTGGAGCTCTGAGCAAGCCAGATAGTGCAGAACCGAGTTTATGGAGGATTGCAGGTTTTTGCTCTGGGAGAGCAAGCCAGGGATTCAGTAACCCAGGGCAGTCCAGCCCACAGGACTCTCTCCAGCCTTCCTCCTTCCCAAGTGTGATATGGGGGAGAAAGGGACCACAAACTCCTTGCTAACCTCAGGATCAGCTGGTGCATAGGTCAGAAACTGTTGGTACTGCCATACGATAAAGACGGGAGGTGTAAATATGAGTCCCAAAGTGGGCATCCATCTCTCAGGCAGAGTCCAGTCCCAGCCAGCTGGTAGGTTTTGGGGAAAATAAATAAACAGAGAGAGATATTTTGGGGACAGGGTATTTCTTACCTCAGCTGTTGTGAGACAGAGAGGACTTCAGACGTCGCCTCTTTTTTAAAACAAATGAACAAAAAACAAAAAACAAATAAACAAACCTAAACCCCCACCCTCTTCCAAACCTTCAAGCTACGTAAAATTTGCTTTTCAGAAAAAGGCACTAAACTGTACAGAGCAGACTTAAAGAAGCAATTCCCCAGAGCAAATTCTGGAAGAGAAGTAAGCAGTTGAAAAATAATGCCATGTGTTTAACAAGAAAAACCAACTTGATGCTGCTCATAACGCAGCCAAAGGAAAACAGTCTAACAGGCATGGGTTCCTCTCGTTAATTCTTCCAACCACTGCCAGAGTATAATCATTTTATCAGAGCAACCACAAAGCTGAAGTCACACCTGTCACAACACCAATCATCTGTGTGCTTCCAAAAGTTTGAGGCTGCTCAATTTAAATTCCTCTGGAATGAGAACATAGAATCCCTCCAGTTGCATTTGTTTTTGCTTTGTTTTGATTAGCATGATAATGTACACACACACACCCGCACAGACGTATTGCTTTGATAGCTTTTGGGCACTGAAAAGGGCAACCCAATCCAAGACCCACTGGAGTCAGTGGAAAAACTCCAGTTCCCTGCAGTGGGCACTGGATCCTGCCCATACCACAGCAATGAATGACAGGGAATCAACGATAAATAATTACGACATTCCACATAGGTACAGAAAAGACAAGTTTGCCCCAAAAGCTGGGATTTTTTTTCTTGCTTCTGTAACAATAAACAGCGGTGCATTTATCCTGCCTGGAAATTTCCAAGGTGGGGACGGGGAGCAAAAATCACCCTACAACATCTTATTTCCAGACTACTGAAGAAACCAGAACATATAGTTACTCTTTGATGTCAGACCCAAAGATTTCTGTCAAGTCTTTTCAATCCACATCCTCACTGGCACAAGAGAGCACAGCTCCGTAAAAGCCCACAGTGCCCTTCTTGCAAGGGAGACACTGATGACAGAAAGGAACTTGTTCCTTGCCAGCACCCAACAAAAATAAATAAATAATGATATTATGGGCAACAATAAATTCCCCAGCAGACTTCAAGTTCCCTGCAGCTGTTTTATGAAGGAAGTCTAAGAAGCATGACCAATAGCTAGAAAACCCAAGCTGATTCCACTGGCATTTTTCCTTCACACCATGTTAATTCTCCCCCGCCGGCTGGACTGCACTGGCTTTCAGCTACGGTGCAAATGAGGATTGCAGGGAGACCTGGAAAAGACAAATAGATCGATGTGTTACTGTCAGGGGTGCTCAGGTCCAAAAATTCACGTTGGTGAACCCTGCACGTTTATCTAAGCAGAAATCATCCTTGCCTGAAAGTATTTGTACCTAGCAGGACAAGAGGCATGGGAGGGTATTATTAGCCCTGTTTAATATTAGGAAACTGTGACACAGAGCGACTGAAAAAACACGCTCATTGTTCCTCGGAGAGGTTTTCAAATGGCAGGGAACTGAGACCAGATTTCTCCAGACCTACATAAGGTCCTTATTCATAAGCTTTCTTCTCCTAGCAGTCGCTTTGCAACCGCCTCTCTTACTCACAGCTTTGACACATGCATGAAAGCCATTTTTCCAACTGCTAGGAGACACGTACACAAGAAAAGCAACAGAGGAGAGCAAGGGGGTTGGGGAGGCC